GCTTTTTAAATTTTCGTTTGTCATACTTGGGACGTAAATGTGCCTGCCGACTTTATCGATTAACGTTGTTACCAGAGTAGTTTATAACTTTTCTCTGTCTCTCTCTTTTGCTATTCTACTTTATCCAACTCTCTCTCTCTCATCACGTTCGTGTTCCTATCGATCTGTACCCCGATCGTTTACTTTTTATTTATATAATTTTTTATTTCTTTTTTATCGCTTGTTTATATCGAACACCATCTCTCTCTCTCTCTTTTTTTTTTTACTTATATATATATATTATTTTTTGTTGTTAGCTTCCAAGCTCGCGCGCGTACTCGTGCGTTCGTTCCTGTTTATTTTAGTCCTTGGTTTAAAAAAATAAAAAGAAAAAGGCAAACACACGCGCACGCGCGCGCGTGCAAGAGAGAAAGAGAGACCGACTGCACACATGAAAAAAACTCTTTTTAGTTAACATCTCGCAAGCTACCTCTCTCCTCTTTTCTTGTTCGTGCTTGCCCTTTCGAAGTTATTCCTCTCTCTCTCTCTCTCTCTCTCTCTCTCTCTCGTTTTCTCTGTACTTACAACACCGTTCCTTCCATTTCCAACACGCATATTAACTTACACGCACAAGACGATATAATAAAAAATTCGCGATAAATTGATTTTCTTTTTCAACGACGAATATTCAACGCGTTTTTTCTTGGTTGACTTTTTTTTATTTCTTTGTTTTGTCCATTTTTACGATCGTAATAGCTTTAAACGGAGCCCTTAAAACGGCAAAACAGCGTTCTGTTTCGATACCAACTATCGAAAAATCCGTTCTCTCTTTTTTTTTTTTTTTCTATTTTTTTCCAGCGAATGGTCGAAACGCGCGAGAGGGTAATTCGAGAACGAGGGGAACTGGTGTAAAAGTAGTAAAAGATCCGTATCTGAACGAGAATAACGAATAAAAATAATACTAATAATAATAATAATAAAAACACAAGAGAAAATAAAAATGTAGAAAAGTACGAAAAAGCACGGACAGAACCGATAAAGCGAATTCCATTAGCGACGAACGAGTAAGAAGTTCGAGCCACGAGAAAATTTGATGTTTCCGTTGTTTTGCTTTCTGAAATTTTGTCTAAATAAAATTTGCTTACTAAGGTAGTTCCGTCTCGACGGAAACTACGAAACTCAACGTTAACTGATTATGACTCCGTGCTTACGTATGTCTATATAAATAAATAACAATGATATTTATCTTTCTGAATTACGGTGATTTTTACTCACCTGTCTTTTTCCTATTTGTTTATTCATTAAACATTTTAATATACCAGTACCGTGGCACAAGCTAAAACAGCATCGTTGCGATTAGTTTCATATTTCTCTCACCTTTTTTGTCTTTCTTGCATTTTGTTACTTTGTTCGTTCGTTATATTTTATATCTTCGACGAGAATCTAAACCTAATCGTCCGTTCTTCTCGGGTTAATTATGCGATTAGTTTCGTTTAATTGTTATTTATATTTATTTGTTTACTTTTTTAAATTTTTTATTTCCTTTACACCTATATGCATATTATTAAATATAATTATATCGTTTACCTCTTATAAAAGAGCGAATAAATTGATTATTATTATTATTATTATTATTATTATTATTATTATTATTATTATACCTTCGAGAGAAAACGTGCCAGTCGTTCACCTCACGCCCTCATTTTTTTTCTCCCCCTTCTTTCCCTTTTATTACCAACTCTTCCCTTGGCATATTATTTTTTTTTCTCTAACGTTCTCCCTTCGTTCCTTCCTTTTTTCCTCTTCTTTCGATTCATCTTCTTCTCTATCTTGATTATAATATATTAACAATGTTTGTGTGTCCGTGTGTCTGTGTGCGTGAATTCGTTTCATTGAAAATTAGCGATAAACCTTCTTGAAAAATTGCGTGTTAAAGGGCACGTTTATAATATATCCTTTTTACCAAAATAATGCACTTTTCATTTTTTCATTTGACGTCGTCCTTCGTAAATATCATACATTTGTCATGACGATTTTCGCTCTCTTTCTCTTTGAATTTCCACTTCTCGTTCGTAATACAAAATTTCTATGGTGTTTCTGTTTTATGATTCATCGGATTACTCGATGATTTAAATCAAAACAATATTACAAATGTTACGTTAATATTTGTCTTCGTTCGAGTATCATTTTTTCAAACATTAATTTACAAAACGGAACGGTCAATTAATTGTTTTATTTATGGTTGGTATTATGATTAAGAAAAAAGAAAAAAAGAAAAATCTAAAGAAAAGAATGAAAATAGAAGGAAGAAAACAATACCAAAATTTGAAATAAATTTTGATCCTTTCCGATGGAGCTCTCGTTCTACCCCTTTAATTTAATCCTTCGTTTGTAATCATTTTATATTTTTCACGATCCGATCGATTTTTATTCATTCCTTCTTTGTCTCTCTCGTTCTTTCTCTCTTTTTGATTACATTTTCTTTTCTCCCCTTCTTCCTTCTTGTTTCCCATACATACGCGCCGACTAAATTAGATTGAGGCCGCATCTAATATTGGCAGTTGTTTGCAAGCGATTTATGTTTTATTTTTCCCAGGCTATTACACCTTCCTCCCTCCCGCCCTTTCATCTCCATCACCTTTATTTCTTTCGTATTTAAAACTTCTCTCTTGAGATTTTACGCAAAAAAAAATTCGTCGTTTTTTAAAGATTCCCACCTCCCTGTCAAAAACGGCGGAAATGTTTTACCCCTCTTATTTACCAGTATTTTAATCTACTAAATACAAGCACGATTTACACGAACGAACGAACGTTTGCACGATTTTTATACCGTTAAAAAGGAGAAACAAATATTTGCGTTTTATAATACGTTCATGAGGTGATTACAAAAAAAGGTCCGACGAATCGTTAAACAAAAAACAACCGATTATTTTGCTTTACTTTTTCATTAGAATTTCTATGCGAAAAGAACAAACAAATCAAAAATTAATGATTACATTTGGATCGAAAAAAAAAAAACAAGGAACATAAAATCGTTATCATTCAATCTTAATCATAAAGAAGGAATGATTTTCATCGCGGACACGTTCGTCGTGCGTGTTCGTGATAAGTGCGCATTTTTCGCGCAGCTTTTTAATAATGATCATTTCGTTGCAAGTACATTACGACGTGTTTCGGACACGTTGTTTTTTAATATTTCTTTTTTTTTGTAAAGTTTTTCTCGTAGACGTGGTTAATTCTTTAGTTTTATTTTCTCTCTCTTTTTTTTTTCCCCTTGTTACTTATTAATTTCTTCTTCTAATTACCGCAAGCGCGTTAAACGTGCGCCAACGGTTAAGCATTTATTTATTTATTTATTTATTTATTTATTTCGACAGTGCAACTTCGAAGCAGCGACGCGTTAACGTTCGCGATCCACCGTCGTATCGATGCGAATGCATATACATACGTGTGCGCGGTTTAAATGCCCTCCCTGTGTACATGTAAATATATAATATGATGGAAATTAATGTGTGTCTCGGTATGTGTACTTTTACGTATATAAATGTACGGCACACGTAAGTCCGTATATTATTCGTCTTGTAAATCTATATGTAAATATGTATGTGTATGTGTCTGTGTGGACGTGCATATACGATACGCGAGCGAGAGTGTGTGCGCAGCGGGTATATATTTATATTTATATATAATAATAATCGTAATAGTAGTAATAATAATAATAATAATAATAAGAATAAGAATAATAATAATAATGATAACAATGATGACGGTGACGATGACGATGACGATGATAGCGATAGTGATAGTAATAATAATAATAATAAAAAATACCTCGGGAGTGCGTGTGTATGTTTTTACACGTATTCACGTTACCGTAAACGTGTACACGAGTGTGTATATTGCGCGCGCGTGTATATGTTTGTAATTATTTGTATGTGTAGTTATATTCGTGTGTGTATAATCCGTGGAAACGCGCACCCCTCGCTGTAAACGTCTTCTTATATAAAATCGGCAGTTCGGGCAGTTCGACGTCTCGCCGCACGACTCTAGCCTTACGTATGAAACCAGATTTACAAAAATACGGTGCGCGTGTTTATCGCGTATTTGGCACTTTTTCTCCTCCTCTCGCTCCTCCCCTCCGTCTCTCTCTTCCCATCGACCCCCACCCACAACAATACGCGAATCAACATAAAACAATATTACATTCGTATATTTTCTTTTTTTATCTTTCATACCCTATCAATCTTTCTCTCTCTCTCTCTCTCTCTCTCTCTCTCTCTCTCTCTCTCTCTCTCTCTCTCTTTCTTTCTTTCTTTCTTTTTTTTGTAATTATTTATCATGCACACAATTTTATTTACATTCTCTCACGTCGCTCTCTCTTTCCCACTCGAAGGTAAACCCTTCCAAAACGGAAAAAAACACGAAGATAGGGGAGGGTTAGGAAATCGTCGAGGTGGGTGGGAAGGAAAGGGATGAGGTAGGGGGTAAGGGGCAAGGTTTCAAGGGGAGGGGTTTGGCACAAGCGACATCGTTCTTATGTACTCGATTCGGATTCATTCAGATACACGTGCGTAGACATTTGCTCTCTCTTTCTTGCATAAGTGCGCTTCTTAAAATTCGTCGCAGGAACGACTGTCGGGGTCGGAGGCGGGGGCGGGGCCGCGGGCGAGGGTTTAGGGCAGCGATGGAAGAAAAGCGGAGCGGCGGACGAGAGTAAAGAGTCGCGTCCTTTTCCGCGTCGACGCGAAAATCGGCAGTTTTGATGGATGATGACGACAGCGAGGACAACGAGGAGAAGGAGGACGAGGAGGACGAGAAGGACGAGGACGAGGACGACAACGACGACGACGACGACGACGACGACGCCGCCGTCGACGACGCCGCCGACGATGACGATGGTGACGGTACCGACGACCAGCAACGCGTCGCCAGTAACACCGACGATGATTACAATGACGATGATTACGACGACAACGACGACGATTATGATGATCATTATGATGATTATGATTATTATTATGACGAATATTATGATCATGACGAAGATGATGATGATGATGACGATAATCATGATGATGATGATCATGATGATTATGACGACGGCGATTATTACGTCGACGATCGCGCCAACGGCCCAACGGCCATTGGCCGCGTTTTATCGTCAACTATTCCTCCTCCGGACCCATATTCATCAACATCATCTTCTTCTTCGCGATCTTGCTGTACTTAATGTCAATCGGCTTCGTCGTGTCGTACAAACTTGGTGCTTGGAAGATTATCATCGCTGTACCAAACACACACGCCAATGTGAAGATCCACAGGAAGATCCGATCGATCACCATCGCTACGTACTTCCAATCCTCTTCGACCTAACAACAGAAACAAATTTTGTTTGGTAAATTAATATCATACGATTTTGTTTTAGCGTAACAATCGAATAACTTCGGTACGGAAGATTATACGTTTCTTTCTTTTTATTTTTTTTACAATCATATACCACTCGAACAAATCTCAGAATGTAATAGGTGCGTGCCAAAAATCTACTTCCATCCGGTTGGCCAATGTTCTCGAAAAACTTGAAAAATATAGTCATGAGATTTGTCCGAATTCGTGTTCCTATTTCTTCTTATCTATTTTATCTATCTATCTATTTATCTATCTATCAATCCAACCATCTCATTTCATCTGACCTTCCCTTCTTCTATCCTCGTTGATCTTCCGCCATCTTTCTCGCGACTCCTCCCCCTGTCGACTAGCGTGAACAACTTCTGCAATCCTATCTGATCGAGCTGAGATTTGGCTAGGATAACCGAATCGGATTCTGTGCGACACCCTTTACGTGTATCCACTACTACTAATGCTGTTCCTATTACTGTATATAACGTACAAACAGAGAAACATAAACCCAATGTACAAAGTCTAAGGTACTATACATATATCTAAGCATTAAATGGAATACATCTATCAAAGATAGAAACGTTGTAATTACACTACAAAGATATCTACACACATACGAAATAATTTATATGAACGGATACAATGAAATTTGAAAAATACACCTAATCGCTAGAGAACAAACCTCCCACACATTTACACACGTACACCCGCAAGTATTGGTAAACGCACAAGAACCGAATTCAACATAAAACATGGTCGCATTTGGCAAGGAAATTGTCGCAGTGCGTTCTTCGATAAGATACTTCTTTGCTAATAATTTATGCACTTTCAACTATATATGCTAAGTACATGCTAAAGAGTAAATACGAAAAAAGAACGAGCTCTAACTCTAACTGCAAAATCAAAATAATAACTCAAATTATATTTTAGTGTATGTAGAAATTTTCGACTTGATATGCGCGAACTACTATAAAGGATATGAACATCACAACGTTTCCTAACCTCCTAATCCCTATCTTCAAAGTACAGATTCATCGAATTTAATTGAAGGTGCCTCCATTGATCTTTGCTCAAAGCAAACAATCCGAGCTTTGAAATTGCATGCGTTTAAAGACGATACATGTTAGAATTCGATGCAGGTCGTCTCTGACGTTCAAGGAAATTTTTAAAATCGTGTTATTAATTTTTATTTTACCTATTGTCTTGGAAGTAAAAAAAAACTTAATGGAATGGAATATAGTAATCGATAGGAAAGATATCAATTTTTATATCCGACGTATTTTCTTTATTTTTTTCATTTTTTTTATTTTCCTTCTCTATTTTGTATTTTTCTTTTTCCCCTCGTAATCCTTTTTCTACTACGCGCACCTACTCGGAATTGCGTTTTTACCCCGATTACAGAGAGCTATTCGCGATACAAGCTCTCGTTGGAACAGGAGGAGGGTATTGCCGCTGGCACACTGACCTATATAATTTCTCGGAAAACAGCTGGATGGCGTCGACGCAGTAGAGCAAAAAATTCACCCTCCTCGGTGAACCTTCTTCACGTTAACGAACATACACTGATATCTTTTCACACCTATTGCTGACACTGATGTAAGTAAAAAAGAAGAAGCAAAAAAAAGGACAGGTTCCGTTTTTGTCGCAAAATGTTTCATACACCTACACCTATGTATACACACACACACACACACACATATATATAAATATACTCATAAAATGTGTGCACATAAATCTTTATAAAATACCTTGTCTAGATACGCAAGAAAAAATATTGACAAATAAATCTCCCTACCTGTATTTCAATTTGCCTCTAATATATATCGACTGATTGAGTACCTCCGAAACCCCATTTGAGTTATCAGAAAAGACTAATCCCAACAGTAGATTAAACTTTTTGTTGAAATCCTAAGAAGATGAGAAGAAGTGAATCGATGTTTTGAACAGGGTCTAACAGGTGTTAGGTTTTCTTATTTGACGGGGACTCGAAGAGTTTAACAGGTAGCCGACAAGGAAGTGTTGAAACGGGATGGAAGAAAAGAGAAGATAGAGAGAATGATAGAAATGGGGAGAGATAGGCAAAAGGTGAATCGAAGAAAAGGTGGAAGCTGTCAAAGAGATTGATGCGAGCTATCGTTGTTCCCTTTTCTCAACCTTATCGACAACTCCCTTTTCCCCACTGGGTTTCAATGTGGTTGGGCTGAGTCTTTACCTAAAGTTCCTCTCGTTCAAAGCAAAAAGCCGGTTAACTCGGCCATTCACGGTAGGACACGAGCTGGAAGCGTGCAGTACGACGTTAAAGACGTTTGCCCAACTAATAAGACGCTAACGCTTCTAGACTTGCTCAAAGAACTCGGCTTTCCTTCTCTTTCTATCTACCCTACTCTTTCTTTCTCTTTTACTTTCCACCAAGTTATACTTGAATTATGGTACAAGTTACGTTCGATTATCGTTCGAAGATAATTTCACTCGAATAAGCGAACCTAAAGATTAGACAATGAGTTTAATCGTGAATGAAATGGTATGAAAATATAAGTAGACTCACGCTCTCAAACTTGTCCTTGTTCTTGGCATGCTGGGCGATGAATCGGGCGTCGTCGATGGTTTTCTCGATTTCGCGTACCAGCGGCTTCTCGAACGTGGGGCTGATGTCCTCGTGTGCATAACCAGGGCTGGCTGGCCCAAAGAGATCGTCGTCGGCACCGGGCAGAGGCAAAGAGGGCAGTGGTTCCTCGAAATAAGGGGCAACGGTGCCGAGAGGTGGACCGTGCCCGTAATGAAAGCTCGGCGGCTTGCTCGGGGGCGGCGGCGGAGGCGGGCCATTGGTCGGTAAGGAAGTCGGTGGTGGAAGTCCAGGGCCGGTGGAAACACCGCCATGGTGATGATGATGGTCGACGATTTGGTGCGTCAGTGGACCATGTGGTCCAGGTATCTCGTATTCGCCGCTGAACCTCTTACCGCAATAGGGCTCGTACTTATCAGTCTCTTGTACATGGAACACATCGGTGAGGATAGCCTCGGGCGGTTTCCCGTTGGGTGCTTCAACGTCGTCCTCGTCGACGACGTCGTCGAGCTCGTCGTCGAGCTCGTGCCCGTTATGAATACGATGAAGTCGATGATGATGGGAGCTACCGGCGCCACCACCGTTTCTACTACCACCATTATCACTACCACCACCACCACCACCACCAGTACCAACGCCGTTAACACCACCTACTAACCCGTCAACACCCTCCTCATCTTCATCGTCATCGTCCTTCTTTGGTCTTTGGATGAGGAGGAATCTTGGGAGCACCTGAATGAACACGATTCTAACCCACTTGGCCATACGGTGGGTCACCGGAGACCGAAAGTTAACGTTCAACACAGCGATCGTCACTACGACCGAAAACGTTACCAGCACCATCGTAAACAACAAATACTTCCCGAGTAATGGAACCGTCAACGACGTGGGCGGTATAATCTCCGCTAGTAACAAGAAAAACACCGTCAACGATAAGAGTATCGATATCGACAAGGAGACCTTTTCACCGCTGTCGCTCGGCAGGTAAAACACCAATACCGAGAGGAAGGATATGCCCACGCACGGTATTATCAGGTTTACCGTGTAAAAGAGGGTCTTGCGGCGTAGGGTGATGTTGAACACGATGTCGGGATACGGTTCCTCACAGCAAATGTAGAACGCTTCGTTTCTCACGGCAGGCACTTTTATTATGTCCCACTCGACGGAGATGTAATAGTCTGTCAGATCGATACCAACGTCGATTTCGTTTGAATCTTCGGTCTGATCTAAATGCCGCAGGTCGACCTAAAATCAATTACGTTTACAAATTTATTTAACATTTATCCATATACGAATGAGAAACGAATTGACATTGATCCAGGAAATTTTTCGATTAACAAAATCTTTTTCGTTCGATTTGTCAAGCGCGACATCACCCAGTTATCCCGAATCAATTGGAATCGATCTTGACAGAGAACAAAAATCCACTATTATCCATTTCATTTTATTTCATTTCCTACAGAAATAACGAGCTTTATTTCGTTTTATCTATTTTATTTTATTTCCTTTTTTTCTAATCTTTGTCAGATATCATTTCCTTTCAAGAATAAAATGGTTTTTCATTTCTCGAAATTGTTTTCCGCTTGCTTTAAACAATAATTGCTAGAAATAGATAGAAATAGAGGATAGAGAGTTTAATTCTCGGTCGAAAGGAAATTCGATTTCCAAGCGGTTTCATGCTATTCTCTCTCTCTCTCTCTCTCTCTCTCTCTCTCTGAGAATCTTTGTCTTTCTATTCGTAGTCAGACGATAATTAATAACAAGCTTAATTGCTCGTCCAGGAAGGAGAAGGTCTTACCGTATATCCGTCGTAAGTCCACGAGCCAAACTTCATGAAGCAGGTCTGCTCGTCAAAGGGGAAATACTCCACGTTGATCTCGCAAAATGATTTATAGATCGCCGGTGGCTTCCACATGACCTTTCCCGTATGGTGCAAGATCGCCTTGGTCATAATGGTTACCTCGTAGTTTCCATCGGCACTGAAAACAACGTTAAACCATAAGGTCGTTAGAATGGTGTATATAGGTGATGGTGTAAATAATAGTGTAGGTGATGATGACGATGACGATAACGATGACAATAACGATGGCATTGGTGGTGGGGAGGGAGGGAGGGAGGGGGGGGGTCGTTGTTAATACTACTTTTATAATAGCCACGCCAATAAACACCATTAACATTTTTCATTTCTACTTAAGATCTATCATACCTTTATAGAATGAACAATGTTTAACTTCAAAATTTAAATTCCATTTTGTTTTACTACCTATAACAACAGCTTATTAATATCATCAAATTTACTTTACTCAATCGATCGGAATAAAATAAATCTTGTATTCATAAAATATCATCGATCTGAAGAAAAGTAAATAATCTTTTGTTTGTTATACGTATGATAAGCAGCTTCGAATAACAACAATAAACGAAATAAATTATTGTGGTAAGGAAAGAGAAATTAAATTACAATGAAAATATAAATCTCTCCCTATTTCTCTCTCTCTCTCTCTCTCTCTCTCTCTCTCACTTTCTAAGAATATTCTACGGTATTCTTACAATATTCCTAAGGAAATGGAACTATAGTAAGAAATAAACTTAGCGAAGATAATGCGAAAGCTTTTCTATTATATAAAGAGAAAGAGAAAAAGAGAAAGAAAGAGAGAGAGAGAGAGAGAGAGAGAGAGAGAGTGGAAGAAACGAAGAAGGAAATAGATAAAGAAAAAGAGAGATAGAAAGCGGATGTTCGAGCCGGTGGTGCTAGGGTACACGTTATGCCGCAGCTGTCGCTACTGCAGCTTTCTGCACTTGTTGCACTATTTTCTTCCTCTCCTATCGCTCGGTTGCTCGCTCCATTATTATTAGCCACCACCGCGTAGCAACGGTTATTGCTGCTGAATTCCGCATCTCTGCGAACGCGCAGATTCATTTCGATCGATAATATATGTATCTATATATATATATATATATCTTTCTTTTTCTTATCAAACTTTTGAATTTTTCATCGCATCCTCCGATTATCATCCGACATCAAGAAACTCCTGCTAGATCGATGAAACTATCTTTATATATTTATACGTTGATTTTTAACATACAAATTCTGAATTCGTGTAAAAAGATTTGAAATACATATTTAGTTCGATTTAAGAATATTTCAGATGACAAAGTTACGTATTTAATATTTCGAATATCGAAATGATACACCGACGAACTTTGTAATTCTATTTCTGTTAGTGTTTTAAATGTTAACGACACGAAAGTCTAACTATTGACGCACGTATTCGATGGCTAACAAAAGGTTTGCATTGAGTAAAGTTAGTATGCATTTGTGCTAATCAGGTTATATGCGAGTTCAACCAAAGAATGAAAGAGAAATCGAGCAAAGAGAGGGAGAGAGAGAGAGAGAGAGAGAGAGAGAGGGAGAGAGAGAAAGAGAAGAGGTGGAGTTAATGTAGGTCTCCTCTTGCACTTTGCGGTCTGTCCGATAATTATATTTCTCTTATCTGTAAAATTTCCTAGGCCGTAATGTAAAGCCGGAAATAACTTACTTATCGCCGCGAACTGAACTTTCTATTCGACATTAGGAACATCGAAATCCCATTTACATCCCTTTTAACACCTTCTTCTTTCACTTCTCATCATGTTCAGGGTCATACGCTTGAAATACTCCAAAGTATGGATTTCGAGAATATTATCCGTGACCTTTTTGTCTTTCCTTCACAATTTACGAATTTTTCAATTTCGCATACAAGATAAAAACAAATATTTGATACATATACTTCGTAATCGCATTCTAAATAAACGTAATGATAATCAATTGTTATGAGAAAACTAATTCGATTGGCATGATACTCAATAGGTAACATTCAACGAATGAAACCATTGAATAAGATAGTAAGAGAAGCTAAGTTATCTTTCCGAGCAGCTTTACGTTCGATAATCCGTTGCAGTAGAGAAGATATTGCAAATTTCCGAGAGAAGATTTCCGAGAAAGGGAGCAAGAAAGAGAGAGAGAGAGAGAGAGAGAGAGAGAGAGAGAGAGAGAGAGAGAGAGAGGAGGATAGAAATAGGAATTGAATGCACTTCAAAGTTACATTCGATCGACGATTAAACGAGCATACTGAATGGCGACGGCTGGTCATAGTAATTCACACGAATGCGACTACTATTCCATGTATCGGATATTAAAGAGACTACCTCCTCTCTCTCTACCCTTTTCTCATTAATAGAGTAAGTGCTCGTTGATTTTCCCCTAATCCTCCCTCCACCACCACCTACCCCTCTTTCTGTTTCTCTCTTACTCTATGTGCAATTTACAAATTGCTCACTTGGAAAGTTTCGTATTCTGAGATACGGGTATAACTAATTGAAATTGGAGAAGGATTTACTATAGGTCAAACCGAATTTCGATCTAAACAGGTCCGTTCTCGCGTTCCGTGTCGCGTATCGTATATCGAGCTCTCGAAAACGATCGATTATGCAACGAGAGAAAATTTCATTCCCCCTCCTCTCAGATAGCCTTTATATTAATTATGTTTAAGTAGACGATCGTTAGATCGTAAGATTGAATAGTAAAAAAATATATTCAATAGTTAATTATGAATTTATAGAATTCATTAATAATATTATATTTATTGAGAGTCTTTTTTTTCGTTTTAATTTACTATAGAAGTTAGATCACTTTAATAATAAACGTTAAACGGTTAATTAATAAGCGTTTAAATTAGAAATTAAATGAAGTTCAAAATCGATTAACAAATTCGGGAAAATAATTAAACCGTTAAATATAGTCGAACGCTTTTACTATTTCGATAAGAGCAGCCCGTACGCTTGTAATTTAATTGGAAACGTTAATGTTTCTATCGAAGAGATCGAAATTCGGAACTTTGTTCTATTCCAAAAGGAAAGATATCTTCCTTCTCTACCTCTACCTCTTCTCGTTAAGACGAAGCGTCACGTAATCACGATAGCGAGGCGTCCTAAACTTTGAGAACGAAACGCAACAGGAGTTGCCGTTTGTCCAAGGATCAAGAACTTCCTTGAATTTTCTGTGTGCGTGCGTACGGGTGAGTAGGTAGGTACTGGATAGGTGTTGGGTTCGTACTGATATTTGTGTGTATACGTAAGTAACTGCTTTTACAAGCACGTATAACACCCACCCAACTCCTTTCACCATGCTCTTTCCATCCCAATACTCATCCCTCCTTTCTCAACTCACTTCCTATCCTCCCCTCAATGAGTATGAATCCTAATCGCGTATACAATTTTGTCCCATTGGATTAAAATCGAATTCGTGTTTCTCTACAATATTTTCGCTATTTCGTAAAATGCTAATAAAATATTTCTATTTATTTGTATAATAAATAAAAAGAAAAAGAAAAGATTTATTTCCCATAGTTTTCTTCGTAACGCGTTTCCTTCGAACTTGAGAATTTGGTTTAGCCGTTCGAGGAGAATGGAGATGAAAGCTCTCCTCTTTGCAGTATCACGAAAACTATTCTTAGCATGATCACTGGCGCGAAAGGGAAAGAAAATGGTAGAAATAAAAATGGACTGGTAGATGTTGGTATTCGTATCGCGTAACGTGAATCATTTCCTCGATTTTTCCGCTTTTTCTCTTGAAAACTGAATCAAGATCAGAAAAGAGAGAGAGAGAAAGAGAGAAAGAAGAAAAGAAGAAAAGAAAAAGGAAGACAGATAGAGAAAAAGAAAAAAAGAGAAAGAGAGAGAACACGGATCGATGCAAGTTTTGCGGTAGAACGAGAATTCACGAATTTTGTAGCTCGTTTTTGTTACCTTCCTCCTCCTCTTACCGTCCCCTTTCCTCTAGCCGCAACTTTATTTCTCTCTTTCTCTCTTAACGTAGTCATAGCGTATACGTAGCACGAGCGAGCGCTTCTATCTAATTAAAGTTGTATAGAGCGTAAATTTCAAAGTCGCACAGGGCTGTATCTAAAGCAGATAAAACCGAGTAGAAGTAGCAAGCACCACCCGTAGGTAGTGCACGTGTAAGGCCGGTTTCACGCTCGAGTCAGCCGTTGTTTCTCGTAATTACGTTCAAGTTTACGGACAACTTTTGTACAAAAATTACGCCACTTATAGGTATAAGAAGGAAAAATTTAATCATTAAAAAAAAGAACAAGAATAAACGAACAAATTGTACTGTAAGTTTAAGGGTATTATTCGTAGAATTATTTCTACGGACGCCCGTTAACTGAATAGGTAGAGGAAAATAAATATTTTGTGATGTACATCGTACAAAATTTGACAATTAAAGAACTCGGGGAAAGGTAAATGGTTTTAGGTATATACTCGTATTATTTGATCAATAAAAGTAAGGAAAAATAACTAGAAAATAATAGCAATGACCGTTGGGGTCATTTTGCGCGTGAAGTTTCAACCCATTAAATTGACGAGCTCCATAAACCTAGCGTTAAAGAAAACGGGAAGTTTCAATTTCGTATTAAATTAAAGAATCAATCGTAAATCTCTCTATCAATGATCTGGGAAATGTTAAAACTGAAAAATGAAAAAACTGTTAAATGGCCCGGCAAACGGCAGGATAAATGTTCGATGAGGGATGATAAAGAACTGGATAGCAGACTTTATTCTACGATATGATCGACGAGAAAAAGAAAAAAAGGAAAAAATAAAGAGAGAGAGAGGTTATCATCTACTACTGAGGGAGAGTTGGGGTTACGTCAGATAAGAGATTTTTACTGTCTCCTTCCGAACGTTTACTCTTAGGTGAAAAGAACATAAACATGAATCACGGTGGCCGCAAACATTACTGGCTCGTAACAACTGGACAATGAAAGGAATCCTTAAAAGGGTAAAACCATAACTCAGAATAAACATTAAAACCTGTCTCCGTAAGTCAACCTCGAATTGCAAGCATCTTTTCTTCATATTCTTTCAATTTTTCCAAATATCTCCGTAGGTTACATATTTGTGTTTTCAATTTCTTACTTTTATCAACTGTTAAAGT